ACGTAGCTAGAGCCCTTGGTATTGGAAAGGAGGAAATATGGAGAGGTAGTGGTCCATTTGATGTTCTGTTAGGAATTGACTATCCAAAATTAAACACTGGTGAAACAAGAGAAGCTAGCAATCTTGTTGCAAGACATTCACCATTGGGACGGGTTGTCTTTGGAGCAACGTCGGAAAGGAGCGACAACGTCAGCCAAGTCTTTCATGTCAAGTGTTCATACCCGGTCGATTTTGTGTGACTTTGCCTTGGGAAAGCATGAAGTGACATGCGAAATCAAAACTTTAAGCCCACTTGAAGCTTACGAAGCCAAAGTTATAGAAAAATCTGTGAAAAGATCAATGGTTAATTTCATTCTTTCCTTATGGATGGCGTATGCATTAACATAAATATTAATGAATTAAACAATTTTAAACTTCTTGAGAATCTTAATTGCTGTGATCATCACGAACTTTTGTGGCTCAGTATCAGACCGCACAGTCTCCATCGGGGTGTTTCATATATAGTTGTCGGCGTAAAACAGTAAAACAATTTGCGACCATTTGTTCCAAACACTTACCTTAATTGAATCAAAATATCTTAAGCATTGAAATTACCTGCATTAAATTATTTCCGATCAGATTAACTGCGAAGAAATTTGAAATACTTTTGACAACGTGGTTTTTCACGGCCTTGAACTTTTGATGCCAAGTAAAGAAATTAAGGTCTCCACTACAGATGCAGGGACATCTCGCAGTGCTCGGAAGCTTTCGTCCAATTGGATAATGCTTTTCTTTGCTTTCTAAAGAACAAAGCTATGCTATTGGTTGAAACAGGAATGTATTGTAAAGTTCAGCCAATGAAAATCATTCTTGCGATGAGCTGCAACCCTACCCCAGATGCACCATGGATGAATAATAAATTGAAATCGCTTATTAACAAAAGACAGCAGGGTTTTGTCACTCATGGAATGAAATCGGCGATAAGTACAGGAATTTAGTTAACAGGGAGCTAAAATCATGTAGAGCGAAGTATTGTCACTTAATATTCATAAGTTGAAAGAAAAAAACCGAAGAAATGGTGGGGTGAAATTAAACGTGTCTGCAACTTTAATACTAAATGAGAACCAATAGGTTTAGCCAAGGTGGAAACGTTTTCTAACCTTACGCCAAAAGAACGAGCAAATGAAATCAATAAAGCATTTCTAGAATATCTTGAGGAGTACAGATTACAATGTCCGTCACCAAATTTTCTGTTGGAGGAAACGCCAATCTTTCCAAATGTATCAAAAATAAGAATGCAAAAAGTTTTATCGAAATTCCTAACAAACAGAGCATGCGGGCCCGATAAGTTACCTTATATAGTTTTAAAGGAATACTCGTACATCCTGGCCCAATTATCCTTAACACCTCGTACAGAGAGCAAAATAAATTATTCCAATCTGCTGTGCTTGACTCACACAGTAAAATGTATAATTTGTTACCAGAAAAGAATGAATTACCGTAATTACTCGAATAAACGCCTCCCTCGAATAAACGCCGCCCTCGAATAAACGCCGCAGGTACAAGCAAAAATATCATTAAACGCCGCCCTCAAATAAACGCCGCAACCTTTTCGTCATTGCGGCGTTTATTCGAAGTATTTATTTATAACCACGGTTCAATTTTCATATATAATTATATAAATAGAAAAGACACATAACTTTTATACTTAGTTTTTTTGGGGATTGATTGTATTGGTTGAATTGGCGTTTAAATTACACAATAAATTCAGAGTTGTTACGAGTTTGCAATAAACGCCTCCCTTGAATAAACGCCGCCCTCGAATAAACGCCGCATCTTAATTGCTAAAAATTTAATAAACGCCGCAGCGTTTATTCGAATAATTACGGTAAGTAACAATCTAAGACATGAAAGAACTTTCAATATTCTTATGAGCCATACAAATAGGGTAGCAAACTCTTCATAATTATTATATGCAATGTGTAATAAGGTCAAAAATAGTTAACTTCCTCGCTCGATTTTAAATACTTAATATCAATTATTTTACTTAATTTATATAAATAATTTAATGTTTTAGTATAATTATTACGTGATAGTTTTAACTCTAATAATGACGTAATTCAGTCTTAAGGCTGCAAGGTAATTTTATTAAATACATGCATACATACATACATACCCCTGGACCAAAGATGCAGAAGAATTACCGGATAACCGAACCCAAACGGAAAAGAAATTGGAAAGTACTGAATGTCGAATAGCCAAAAATTTCTTTCAATTCCTCAGCATCATATATACAAAGGACACTGCTTGAACGACTATTGGATGAAAGGAACAGATTTTCTGAACAATCTGTTAAGAGATTTTCTACGATTCCGAGAAAACAAAGTGGCTATCAACGCAGATACATGCAAGATGTATCACAGAGAAAGAGATCAAACCTGCACCAGCCATGGCACAGACCGCTCTGCAGAAGACCGCTGAAGAAGGACAGAAACGCTATTCCGAAGCAGCTGAAGTCATAAAGAAAAACACCTACATGGACGACAAATGTGATTCCGTGCATTCAGAAGAAGAAGCTAAGATAGTTACGGCAGAAATTGACGAAATCCTTCGCAACGGTGGTTTTAATGTCAAGTGCTGGATCTCAAAGCGATCATTGAAGAAGGATGAAGAAAGAACTGTTGAAATAAGTGAATCGGACTTAAAGTTTCTACAAGATCCAGGTGAAGAGAAGGTCTTGGGAACGGTTTGGAATCACCACAACGACGCATTTTGTTTCAAAGTAAATCCTCCTGAACTGACCAAATTTACGAAGAGAGCAATTTTAAGTCATGTAGCTCGAATCTACGATCCCCTTGGAGCAGCTGTAGCTTTCCTAATTCGTGCGAAAATGGAAATGCAAAAACTGTGGTTAGAAGAATTGCAATTGGATGACGAACTACCGAAAAGACTCCAAACAGCGTGGACTCGATTCTTCCAAGAGATTAACGACCTAAACAGCGGCACCTTCGAAAGATCTCTGACACCAGAAACAATGATTGGAGCCCCTGCACTGTGCATCTTCTCTGATGTATCGATTGAAGCCTTTGGAGCGTGCGCCTATATCAGATAGGAGATAGAAACCAACACCTTGGCAACCAGATTCAACGCAGCTAAGTCAAGAGTAGCCGAGCCCCATTGAAGTCGCTGACTATACCTCGCTTGGAGCTACAAGCAGCAGTCCTGGCAGTATAATTATGTTGTTCCATTCTCGAAGAGTTTTGGCTGCTTTTTTTAGAGATAATATTCCTCTCAGACAGCCACATCGTCCTTTCTAGATCCGAAAGCAATCCAGAGAATTTAAACCGTGCATTTCAGCTCGAATCGCGGAAATCCAGAGCAGCGAAGGCATGTCCCTGGGGAGAAAAATGTCGCCGATGATGTATGGCGAGGAATACCTGCTCAATCGGAACGCGGGAAAACCTAAGCTGCACCTGTATCGTACTCGTACTCAACCGTCAGAAGTCATTCCATGTAAGAAGTTTGAACTTGGAAAAAACGTATTCCAGTCACGCCTATCGCCGACGTCGAACCAAAGAGAACACAGAAACAACCCAGTACAACCCACCAGTCAGAAAATAATTCAGAAGAAAGTTCAATATCAGCAAAGGAATTAGAAGACGCCAAGTTATATTGGATAAAGCAAAGCCATAAGACACTCCATAATTGCATTAAAAAGGGAGAACTGAAGGGACTAACCCCATTTAACGATGACAACGGAACGATCAGAGTCGGAGGACGGTAAACAAAGCCACGATATCGTACGATGCCAGACACCCAGTTTTACTCCCACGTGAACACTGGATATCGCTACTGATTACTCGAGAATTGCACTAAAACGGCCACTCAGGAGTTGCAAAGATAAGGAAAGTATTGGATCATTCGATGCCATTACCTCACCAAGTCTATGAAATTTAAGTGCGTATGTTACTGTCAAATGCAAGCAAAAGCCGAGGAGCAATTCATGTAAGACCTGCCAACAACCTGTCTCAACGACATTCTGCTTGGTCGAGCGTCAACGATGGTACCACAAGAACCATTCAGAGAAACGAAGAATCTTCGTCATGGCGTCGACTTCGTCCAGAGGATAGCTAGTCGACAGTTTTTGGAAACATTGGAGTAGAGATGTATTTCCCATTTTAGTTGATGAGGAGAGCCCTCATCGGAAGGGTAGGGGGGGAGTGGATTAACAGCTTCCCTATAGGTCTGATTGACACGTGCGTAGACGCTTGTTGAACTTTGAGCATGACGTCAGAGATCACATACAACTGAGATGAATAGCGAGACGCAGAAGATGTAAATATAGAATGTTTGTTTAAAAGACAACGACGGGCTAACCTGAGAGATAAAGCATATATTATAGGACCTCGCCACAGAAGTACGCTATTGACTTTATATATATACTTTATTTTTATATTATTGTTTTATGTATATTAATATAGGTAATTTATATCACACGTGCGAACTTTATTGGGATTATATATGCATGCTTTCTTTAATATCAGTGGTGTATGCTATAGTCTATAGAAGTTAGTATAAAACTATATAGCCTTAAATCATGTGACATAATATGTAGCACATGCTGTGTGCTAATATATACCCTTCCATCACATGTCCTAATAATTAAGTAGTGCTTGCTTTAGAAATTAGTATTTAACAGTATAGCTTTGATCATATAATAAGTAGTACATGATGTAGGAATTAGTAAAGCAGCCTTTCTATAAGGAAACTTATTTAAGACAGCTAGTGATTGCTATTGCTATAAGCTCTATGTGCCTTTTTATGCATTACTTTCAGTCTATAAGGACAGCTAGCGATTATTAATTTATTTTTACTTCAAGTCTATTACAAACTTCTCATTTAGTCCCGCAGTTGCATTCATATCCAGACTCTTTGGAAGTGAGCTGTACGGGGAACGGCAGGAAAACCTTCCTTTCCAGTTGTTAATATGAGTTCGGAGTATTTTTTCCTCAATAGTGTCAACACCATTGGGCTTATAAGTTATTCCTCTTTATGGTGAACTGATGGATTATCCCATAATTGATCGACACATGATTGATGCAATATTTCAGAGCGTATCATCAGATTATGTTATATTCTGGCCATATCCATTTGTTGAAAAGTTTTTTCCACTACGAATTACAATGCGATTTCAAATCAAGATGCTAAACAACGATGTACCTTTCCAAGAAATAAGCTTCTTTTTGTAATGTTCATCCTAATTTGTTTTTCAGCAAATCTTGTGCTTTTCTGTACACTAGAGCACCAAATAAACAAAGAATTATACGGTCACGACTAGAAAAACTTTCCCTCTTTAACAATTAGGACATAGTTGTGACCGATGGATATCTTCATATAGGTTATATTTATTGAAATATGTAGTTAAGGGGCACTGGGTTGCATTCTTTATACTTTTTCAAGACCACTTTTTAGGTATCCAATGATTTAGTAAACAAACTTTGCTGCTGGAAAGAAGCCAAATGTTCTATATTTCTACAGTGTAGTATATCCTTCCGTTTGTAACAAGCAACCAAATAATCTAAAATGCTTATTCAGGAGTCCAGATGTCTACAAAACCAAACCAAACCATCATACCTTTTCCACTTTCAGTTCTAAATGCCAATGAAACTGCTTTAACTTAACAACCTCTAAAAAAGAAAAATATATATGACAACTTTTCTCTTCTTAAATCGGAAATATCTTGCAGGAATGGCGAATATTTTAAGATCTTCGCTAGATTGTGAAAAAAGAAGCAATAAAAAGCAATGTTGACAAAACGAGGGTGGAATTGTGCAGAAATAAGGAAGATTAGGAATTACTTGGAAATAGAGAACGATATTGTGCAAAAACAAAACTAAGTAAAGTAAGACTACCAAAAGTTCAGTTCTTTCTTCTTTCAGTCAGGAGGATTAGGAATTCTTCTGAATAGAAAAATGATATTCTGGAAAACAAAACTAAGTAAGAGTGCAGTAAGTTAAGTTCTTTCTTCCTCAATAAGGTGGTTTGGAATACCTCGGATATGGAAAATGATATTGCACAAAAACAAAACTAAGCCAGAGTGCAGAAAATTAAGTTACGAAATCCTCGGAAATGGAAAAAGCTATTGAGCAAAAGCAAAGCAAAACGAAGCTAAGTAAGTATGCAGAAAGTTAAGTTCATTCTTTTCAAATAAGGAGGATTAGGAATTCCTTGGAAATGGAAAAAGATATTGCGAAAAAGCAAAACTAAGCAAGGGTGCAAAAAGTTAAGCTGCTTCTGCTTTAAATAAGAAGAGATAGGAATACCTCGGAAACGGAAAAAGATATTGTGCAAAAGCAAAGCTATAAGTATGAGTGCTCAATTTCTTTCTTCTTTAAATAAGGAGGATTAGGAATTCCGTGGAGATGGAAAATTATATTGCACAAAAACAAAAGTATGCAAAGGTGTGGAAGGTTGAGTTCTTTCTTCTTGAAATAAAGAGGCTACGAAATCCTTGGAAATGGAAAATCGTATCGTGCAAAAGGAAAGCCTAAGTAACAGTGCAAAAAGTTAAGTTCTTCAAATGAGGAGGATTGAGAATTCCCCTGAAAGGGAGAAAGGTATTGTGCCAAAGCAAAGCTAAGTCAGAGTGGAGATGAAAAGTTAAGTTCTTTCTTCTTTAAATAAGGAGGTTAGGAATCCGTGGAGATGGAAAATTATATTGCACAAAAACAAAACTAAGCAGTGGGGAAACTTAAGTTCTTTCTTCTTGAAATAAGGAGGTTATGAAATGCTCGGAAATGGAAAAGATAATGCGCAAAAACAAAACTAAGCAACAGTGCAAAAAGTTAAGTTCTTCAAATGAGGAGGATTGAGAATTCCCCTGAAAGGGAGGAAGGTATTGTGCCAAAGCAAAGCTAAGTGAGAGTGGAGATGAAAAGTTAAGTTCTTTCTTCTTTAAATAAGGAGGTTACGAAATCCTCGGAAATGGAAAATAATATCGTGCAAAAACAAAACTAAGTAACAGTGCAAAAAGTTAAGTTCTTCAAATGAGGAGGATTGAGAATTCCCCTGAAAGGGAGAAAGGTATTGTGCCAAAGCAAAGCTAAGTGAGAGTGGAAATATAGATGAAAAGTTAAGTTCTTTTTTCTTTAGATAAGGAGGTTAAGAATCCGTGGAGATGGCAAATTATATTGCACAAAAAAAAAACTAAGCAACAGTGTGGAAAATTAAGTTCTTTCTTCGTGAAATAAGGAGGTTACGAAATCCTCGGAAATGGAAAATCATATCGTGCAGAAGCAATGCTAAATAAAAGTAATAGGCCGTATTCTCTGGCACGAAAAGTCGCTTAGAAAACGATTTTCGTTGCCCCCCTTCGGGCACTACTTGAAAACAAGATAGAAAATTAGGATAAATTATAGAAAGTCTAAATTCACTTGTTTTCACCTTCACAAACCTGCAGTTTTCGAGCATTTCATCTTTGAAAAATCAGTGAATTTGCATGTTTTGCAATACACCGACGCCATTTTGATTCAGGAAATGTCTCGGATACTTGGTGTAATATACGACATATATAGCAGATTCAGCAGTTTTATACCAGTATTTAAATGAAGTTACCAGCATTTTTGCTGTGCAAGCAGGTTTCAACAAGGAAGCTTTGAGTGGAGTTTTACAAGGTTTTTCGCAAATTTTCATAGTTTTTCAAAACTAAATTAGTCAGAGAAGACTTAGACAACAATTAATCGGAAAAACATCCACCAATTTTGCTTACACGCATCAAAATCATCCACGAGTGTTTTGTTTCTAGTCAAGTTATATAAAATAATTACTACACAATTCCTTTCCAGCATAACCTTTGTTTTATATTAACTACTTTTATAATACACACGCTTTCTCAAGAAAACTATTTACAACATCTCAGTTTTTTGACAAAGTTAATTACCAACGCCTTTATCTTATTATCATCAATCCACTAAAACGAATTTTTAGTGCGAAGACCCAGACATCTTTACGAAGTTGAAAAAGAACAAATTTCAAACATTTTCCTTATGAAAACGTGTGAGGACTTGTGAAAACTGCCAAGTTGGCCCAATTCCAAACTTGCTGAAGTATTGGAAAATGAATCTGGAAATCCAGAAGTCAATGTTTGTGCATTTAACAACAATGCACTGATTGTAGATGCTATGGCAGTTATTCAGTCGGTGAAAGGAAAATGGAAAACATTTGGCGATGATGCTCTTTTAAAAACCTCAACACGCTAGCACGAAAGTATAATTCCAAACGATTAGATTGTTGCAAACAGGTATCCTTAGTTGAGCATAAAGAATGCAGAGAGACAACGAAGAGCTGAAAAGTGAAAAAGGAGTCCAGAAAGGTCAAATCTTCAGAAAAGATCAGAGTGTTCCAAAACAGTGGAAAAAGTGTTTAAGATCCGGTGGAAACAAGGAATCTTTCATATCTATGTAAACACTGGAGGTCATGTAACTCCTCCCGGTGGTTTTCCATTTCAACTATGTACGTAACTGCTAAAGAAATATGCTATGTTTTATATCCCGGTGATTCCCCGAACGATATTGTTACAAGTAATGAGGTGTCTTCGCTTCATAGCACCACGAAGAGCAGACACTCGTTTAATTCTACATGCCAACCACGCAGCAGCAACGTACGATAAAGTTATCATCAAAAGCCCTGATACAGATGTTCTTATACCTGCGATTGGCATGCAACAACAGATCCAGAAAGAGATTTTCTTTTTGACTGGCACGGGAGATAGACGTCGTTACGTATTTGTAGCAATTATCTCGAAATTCTTGGGCGTGGCTGTTGCTCTTTGTTTACCAGGCTTTCATGCTTTTACCGGTAATGGCATTAGCAGTCAAGCAGCATCATGGTATCAGTGTTTAATGCAGAAGTCGATCTTCCATCACTGGTTGGCAATGGCTGGACGCTTGACGATAAAGAACTGGAGATAACTTGGATGACACGCCCACCCGCTCCGCGATCTTTAATTGAGTGTGTTGAGTGCAAGCGAAAGATTCTAGATGCTCGACCATGCGTTGTTCCTGCAAAAAGGCTGACTTAATTAAAGTGCACCGACCTATGTTCGTGTGGTGATTGCCAGAATGCAGTAGTTGAAGATGGTAACGACGATGATAGCAGTTATGGCTCAATCTGATGACGATGATGAACTTGAAGGATCAGGATCTAATCTGGATTTCGAAGATGACGTCGATGATGAGTTGTGGTATTAGCTGTCCGATTAAAAGGGTTGAGTTCAACATTTTATTTGTGTTTTAAAATTATAAGGCGCTCGTAATTCTCCCACACTGGTATTAAAACGTATGGCTGATATCAACCTTGGTATGCGTGTTCAATATTTTAACATGTACAGTAGTTGTACGTTGCAAATCACGTTTAAATTGATGTTGGCGTTGGTAATTAACTTTGTCAAAAAACTGAGATGTTGTAAATAGTTTTGTTGAGAAAACGTGTGTATTATAAAAGTTGTTAATATAAACAAAGGGTATGCTGGAAAGAATTGTGTAGTAATTATTTATATTAAATTGACTAGAAACAAAACGCTCGTGGATTATTTTGATGCGCGTAAATAAAGTTGTTCTTATTATTTGTAAATTCCAAGAGCTGAATGCTATAAAAAACGTAAAATTGGCGATGTTTTCCGATAATTGTTGTCTAAGTCTTCTCTGACTAATTTAGTTTTGAAAAACTATGAAAATTTGCGGCAAACCTCGTAAAACTCCACTCAAAGCTTCCTTGTTGAAACCAGCTTGTGCAGCAAAAATGCGGAAAACTTCATGTAAATACCGGTATAAAACTGCTAAATCTGCTATATATGTCGTATATTACACCAAGTATCCTAGACATTTCCCGAATCAAAATGGCGTCGGTGTATTGCAAAACATGCAAATTCACTGATTTTTCGAAGATGAAATGCTCGAAAACTGCAGGTTTGTGAAGGTGAAAACAAGTGAATTTAGACTTTCTATAATTTATCCTAATTTTCTATCGTGTTTTCACGTAGTGCCCGAAGGGGGGCAACGAAACTGAACGATAATCGGCCACAGAATACGGCCTATAATAAAATTAATAGCTTTGCATCACATCACAATATAGATACTGCATGCTGTAGAAATTACTATTTAAATACATGTAGCTCTGCATCAATTGACATAATAAGTATTAAGTAATGCATACTGTAGAAATTATTATTTAAATATATAGCTTTGCATCGGATAACATAATAAGTACTGCATGCTGTAGAAATTAGTGTTGAAATATATAGCTTTGCATCATAGATAATAATAAAAATCTCAAGATGTTGATGCTTTGTATTGAGATGAACGGAATTGGTCAGGTATTTAACAAAACCCGGTTTGTGATATCTTGTTTCAAATTTGTATCGCCTTTTTTCTCCATGTAGTGGCATAAATGTTTACTTTTAACTTTAGTGCGAACATGTCAACTTGGAATTTAATGCCAGGAAAAGAATAAAGATGGTATACGGCAGAAGGCCAGTGGAACACTACGAACTTCAGTTAGAAGTCAATATGAGCGAAAAGGAAGATCACATGCAAGTCTTCTTTTTCAAGGGGCAACATCCTTGTTGCCCGTCTTATTATAAGGCCCTGGTTCCTGCTCATTTATCAAAGTTTTTTTAGTACTTGCGGTA